AAAACAGTGAACTGAGACTGCAACTATTAGTGAAATCTATATTAAAGCTCTTCAAATATGATTTAGATTTACAGTAATTGTTTTTCATGTTTAAATCTGATTTATTCCTGTGTTTAAAGCGTTTGTCATTCCTCTACTTCAGTGTCTCAGACTCATTCAGAAATGATTATTAAATGCTGGATTAATGCACAAGAGAGTTTGGCGAACACGTTTTACACCGTTTCAAATATATATTATATGTGCGGCTGTATAAGTCACATACAGCGCTCAGCATAATGGAGGACAGCCCATTCTGAAAACCAAGACTTTCCTCCATTTCTCAGTCAATATAGGCAGTGTATTCTGCTGCATTTAAACAGAACACATTTATTAAACAGATTTATTTATGAACATCATATTTTAGTCAGCAAACATTCAGAAATTGACAGATAATACAGTTAAATTCAGGCTAAATAGTGGACATAATTATATATATATATTGCAAAAAAAAAAACTACAAAATTTCAGCTAAATGTTTTATTGTTTTGCTTCTCCTAATTTTCCTCTTTTTATTTAATATTTTTTTACAACATAAATTTGGCTGTATTAGTTGTTGGACGTTATCATCAGTTATTTTGTTAGATGATCTCCAGATTTGGCTAATCTATTGTATATGCACAAATATAATACTGTAGAGCTTCCTATTAAACTATGAATGTAAAAGAGAGATTAGTGAGGGCTGTACTTATATATGCTGAGCACTGTATATTGTTCACCCAGAGTGTTTACATGGTCACACAGCAGTAACACAACAAGCATTTAGTTTGGGCTAGCTTCTGCAGATGGACATTGCTGTACACTGCCCTTGATGGGTGAGTGGGGGAGTGTCTGTTGTCTCTCAGGTGTGAATTATTCATGAGCATTGTCACTCACACACACAGCTGAGATCACCCAAAACAAACTTATGGCAATGAGTGTGTTTTTTTTTTAACCTAATTTTAGCTATTTTTTTCTCCACAGCTTACTAACCACACATAATATTTATTTCTAAAAAAAAACACAAGCATGTACATCAATATTTCTCACATATTATTGTAGCTCAGTTTGTGCTGAATACAAATAAAACACATGTTGGCCAGTTCTGTGTAATAAGTAGCTGAAATAAGCACAGATGTCAGGGCATGTCAAAACATCTCAGGGGCCAAAATCACCTCAGACCCCTGAGGGTTAACTACAGGTATAGTATGAGCAGTGTGAAACACAATTACTGATAAACCATAATTCCTGTTATCTAAGGTTTAGTATCACCCAGGGTTAACATGTTCAAGCATGAAGAGCTCTAATATGAAACTGTCTGACTGTAGTTATTGTAGAGTGGAGAATCATTTACCTCAGTGTCTCCAGTTTACAGTTCACACTCTTCAGTCCATCAGAGAGCTTCTTCACTCCTGAATCCTTCAGGTCATTGATACTCAGGTCCAGCTCTCTCAGCACACAGTTTGAGGATTGTAGAGCTGAAGACAAACTCTCAAAGGACTGAACAGTGAGATTACACATGGCCAATCTGAGAAAGAAGAACACAGATTACATTAACAGTGTGATTTAGTCAATCATCTGATGTAAAATCAAAATTAATCAATCAATCAATCAATCAATCAATCAATCAATCAATCAGGTGTTTAAACTCAGACCTCAGTGTCTCCAGTTTACAGTGTTGACTCTTCAGTCCATCAGAGAGCTTCTTCACTCCTGAATCCTGCAGGTCATTGATACTCAGGTCCAGCTCTCCCAGCACACAGTTTGAGGATTGTAGAGCTGAAGACAAACTCTCACAGCACTGAACAGTGAGATTACACATGGCCAGTCTGAGAAATAAGAACACACACTGTTAATGTGATCTGTCTGATGTAACAAAACAAAAAATCAATCAATCAATCAATCAATCAATCAGATGCTTAAACTCAGACCTCAGTGTCTCCAGTTTACAGTTCACAGTCTTCAGTCCATCAGAGAGAAGCTTCACACCTGAATCCTGCAGGTCATTGTTACTCAGGTCCAGCTCTCTCAGCACACAGTTTGAGGATTGTAGAACTGAAGACAAACACTTACAGGACCGAACAGTAAGATAACAGCCCTGTAGCCTGTGTAGAGGACAAACATAATATGTGTTAATCTGGTGTGTTTAATTGTCTGCAGCACATCTGACTGTAGTGACTGCTTTAACTTCACTAGTTAGTGAGCACATCTGGTGATTTTAGCTTTAAATAGTGTTAATGTCTATAAAACATATAAATGGCTTCCTTCAGATGTTCCAATAGCCCAACTCTTTATTAAACACCTAACACTGAAGACAGGATTTTGTTTTAATTATTTTATTCATTATTATTTGACAAACAAACTAGGGCTGGGCGATTTGGCAAAAAAATAAAAAAATAAATCTAGGTTTTTTTATGAAGTTTGACAGATTCACGATTTCGATTTCAAAAATTTTTTTATTGTGTAACTAGTCATTACAACAACATGACTGAAGTAACAATCTCTTAAAAAGTAACTTAAGCCATCTGGTTAAGGAACATTGTATTTTTAATGGCCATGCCATACATAAATTGGTCAACAAGGTGTAAATAAATGTAAAACAAATTCACGAGTTAAATATCGTTGCTGAAGATTTGAATAAGAAATATTTGAGTAAATATTGCAGTTGCAGGAATACAGAAGGATTTTTTTGCAAGTTTTGATGAGCCTGGGAAAGATTGGCTGTCAGCTCGGTTTTGACTTTGTCTTCTTATTGATTGACCGGTTGTAAAGCTGCTGCTTTTTTCTTTAAAAAAATACAGTGAAAGTGAAGGACTGAACATGGAAACTGTAAAGCCTAATTTAACCCAATGTGTGAAGTTGTGGAAGTATAGCAGGAGCGAATACAAGTACCAGATGTGAGTCTAATATAAACTAATATTTAATCTACCTAAATTTTTCCCCCTTTTAAATACCGATCATTTGATGCGCTTTGCTCCACTCTCTGTATTACGCCAATTATGCGGATTCAACTAGGTCCACTAAATGATGTCATGTGGGCGGGTAATTTAATTTTCACTGCTACAGCTGTCAGTTGCTCACCTCTGCTCGTGTTCAAACCAAAAGATCAGCGTGGTTCGAACCAAGATTGGCGTGGCTTTTAACATGGCACGTTTTTACGACCTTATACATGTTGAGAGATAGAGTTTATCGACTTGATAAGGGAATATGTCTTGACAATCCACACAGATGTGACTCAAACTAATGCAACAAGTAAAATCCTACATGACTTCACGTTTTAACAGACAGTCAAGCAGGTCGCACACCAGAAGCGCCGCGACACGGCGTGCACATGACAGTTTAATCAGACATAGTTTTATCACACCCCGCACATTCGCATGATATTTAACATGAAACTAATCAGATGGCGCTCTGTGGCGTGGCTGAAATATGACTGAATTGTAGCCGGGTGGCGCCAGTGTGTGTATAGAAATCTGTTTAGAATTCTAAAATCCATGGTGCTGTGTGGCACTTCGCTGTGCGGCGCTTCTGGTGTGCGACCTGCTTCATACAGAGAGTGAACCAAAGCGCATTGGTGCCCTTATAATGTATCAAATATATTTTTTTATAAAATCGCGATTTCTAGATTTAATATAAAATTAAATCGTCATCAAAACGTAAATTCAAACTAAACGACAAAAGTCTAAAAAAATCACTCAGTTAGACTAGTCAAACTAGTCTAGACTCAACAAACTAGTAAATATAATGTTCAGTAGCATCTTTAAAAGCTGCATCTCAAAGCACTTTTCAGAATAAAGTGAAACAGATGCATATGTGACAGAAATATAGAAGATAAATAAATATATTCATTGTTGTTTGCTGTTTATGTGTTTTTGTTTCTAAAGATTCCTCCATGTCAGTGATCAGGACTGTCTGCCCTGTAATCTTGCCTGCAGCTCCTCAGCCTTATCCAGCCATGTCCACCATTTCAGTTGTCTCTAGTACAGCAGTTTCAATCTTCTCTAGTACATCAGACACAGTCTCTAGCACTAACGGTATGTTGTAGCGAGGACATAAACAAGGATGTAAACAACAGGAAATGCTGTTTGGCACCGCTAAGAATTCAGCTAAAAATTCAGTGCAATAAATGCAGTGTCTCTCTATGCGGACGCTTTCCCTGCATTCTACATCTCAGATAACTAACACTCTAAAGATATGACAATGTTTCATATGACTCACACATGCTTATTCTGAATATATGTGAAAGACACTTGTCAGATGATATTTTAGAGAGCAGGCGTGAGCTTCAGCTGTGTCATTTTCTGTCTGATTCAGGCTCACACTGATACGGCTAACAGCTACTCTGACTGATAGGATTTACACAGCATAAAAGTGTGTGCTTGTAGAGCCGTGACACTTTTCCTGGTGACGTGAAGCCGATCTGCAAATCACAGCACAATACATTAGCTGACCAATCAGAGCCTCTTGAGGACAACCCTTTCAGAGGAACGAGGACATATGACATTTGTCTTCATGTTAGCTGAGTAGCTGTATATAATCAAAGTCAGATATATGAAAAATAAGCTGATTTTCTACAAGTGAAGCATGAGCACACATCACATTGCATTCTATCAACACAACCAAGCTTTAAAAACACACTCTAGACCACCCCAACACCCCACCACAACACATGAGTAAAAGCTGAAGAAAATAAGCGTTTCAGTGACCTCTGAAAACACTCAAGAGTTGGAGAAGTTCTTAAGGAGAGTGGAAGATCGGCCCAGAGTCTTGCAGCTGCTACTGAAAAAGCTCGATCACCTCTACATATCAAGCGTGATCGTGGAACTTGCAAATAGAGTCGACCCTTAGTGTGAAGAGATCTCACAGGTTGGTGTATATTAATTAGCTCAGAAATATACTCAGGGGCCATGGAGGGATTTACAAACATACAGCAGTACTTTGTACTGAATTCTAAACTGGATTTACAGCCAGTGCAGAGAAACCAGTACAGGTGTAATGTGCCTTTTCTGTGCCTGTTAAAAGCCTTAAAAGTTCTCCAATCTCTCATATCAGCCAAACAATTTAACAAAGCCTGAAGGGAGGACTGATTTGAGAGTCATCAGTATATTGATGGTAATTTATGCCATGCTTTTCAAAAAATTCCCAACGGAAATAAGGAAAGGGAAAACAAAACTGGACCCAATATCGAGCCCTGCAGAACCCCACACATTAATTGAATGACAGAAGAACAAGAGTTGCCCAAACTGACTGATGTAGTTCTATACTTCAGATATGAAGAGAACCAGTCCAAGGCTAGACCCTGGATATCAGTGTGTTTTCTAAGCTGATCAATGAGGATGTCATGATCCACTGTATTAAAAGCAGCAGTGAGATCCAATAATAGAAGAAGAACAGGGCTACCTGAACCAAGCTCCAACAAGACATCATTTGAAACCCACAATAGAGACTCTGTGCTATGACCAGCTCTAAACTGACTGAAATTTATCAAAAACATTATTATTAAACATGAAATCATTCAGCTGTACAGACACAATCTTCTCTAAAACCTTTGAGATAAAAGGCCTGATTCACAGGATCCACCCTGGTTTACTGTCCAGTAGTCCCTGCCTTGGCTTTGTCCTCCTTCCTGTCGACCTACCTGTCAGTTTTCCCCTCACCATCTGTCCTGTACCCTGTCATGGTTTTATTAACCTGCCTCTCCCCCATCACCCTTGTCCACTGTAACACCTCCAGCTGCTGAACTCACTCTTGTTTTGTGTTTTCCTCTGAGGATCATCTGGAATCTTCTCCTAGAAGGGAGCTGTGTCACGGTCGTGGTTGTCCTGTCCTTGTACTTTTGTGTTGTGTTGTCCTCCGTGTTCTCTGTGTTCACCCCAGTTTTCCCAATGTTACCCTTGTTACTTGCACAGTTACTCTCCACCCCCTTGTAAACTCACTAGTCTCTGTTTCAGTCACTATGTGTTGATCATAGTTTGCTGAATGTGTGTGTGTTTCTGCTCTTCAGCTCTGCCAATATTTTTGTGTATGGATTTTATTTAACATTAGAACTGAACCTAGATCCAACTCTTGCATCTGCTTTGCCTGCCTGCACAATTAGAAGAAGATATTATAAAAAAGATGGTTGCATGGTGGTTCACTGGTAAGCACTTTCGCCTAACAACAAGAAGGTCGCTGGTTTGAGTCCCAGCTCCAGTTTCCCCCACATTGTGAAGACATTTGTTATAGGTGAATTGGGTGAACAAAACTGACCATAGTGTATGAGTGTGTATGTGTCTGAGTGTGTGTCTGTGTCATTGTTACCTTATAATTATCAGCATAGATATGAGTCAAAATAGACAGAATGGAGAAAACATAAGTGTGATCATTTCACTCCAGTCCAAAAAGGACTTTAAAGGTGCTGTATCATTTTATAGCTGACTTGTGTGCAATTTAGACGATAACAGCCATATCACCCTACAGCCCAAGACTGGTAACTCCATAAAGCTAAGCAAGGCTGAGCCTAGCCAGTACCTGGCTGGGAGACCACATGGGAAAACTAGGTTGCTGTTGGAAGCGATGTCAGTGAGGTCAGCAGGGGCGCACATCCTGTGGTCTGCGTGAGTCGTCATGCCCCAGTAAAAGTGAAGGGGACACTACACTGTCGGTGGGCGCCGTCTTTTGGATGCCACATTAAACTCTGTGTGGTCTTTTAATCCCATGACACTTCTCATAAAGAGCAGGGGTGTAACCCCGGTGTCCTGGCCAAAGTCCTTAAATTGGCCCTTACGATCATGGCCTCCCAATCATCGCCATGTCTTTTTATGACAGCTAAAAACCATTAGCTATTGACCTACATGGTAGGAAAAACAACTGGTGTGTAAGTCAATGATTACAGGTTTCAGCTTTCTTCAAATTATCTTCTATTATGTTCAACAGGAGAAAACAAAGTTTACAAAGGTTTATATCCATGAAGAGTGAGTAAGAATTAGTAAATTCACTTTTTGGGTAAACTATCCCTTACACAACCACTGCCAAAACATGAATCTGAATGTTATTTAAAAAACACTAAAACATTACATAATGAACAATTATTAATGTATTTTGCAGTTTAGTTGATATCAGTATTGTTCATGTTCATTAACATGATGTCATGTCATTTCTTATCATTTCTTAGCAGTCTTAGGAGAGAACCCTAGACTTCCCTCTCCCCAAACACTTGCACCAGCTCCTCCGGGTGGATCCTGATCCTTCAGGCCAGCCGAGAGACATAGTCCCTCCAGCATGTCCGGAGTCTTCGCCGAGGCTTCCTCCCGGTGGGACAGATGCCCGAGCCAACTCAGCTGACTTCTGCTCTTCAGTGTTTGAACTCTCAGCAGTGAAAAGTAAAACCACACTGAAATGAACTAAACTGAACTTCAACACAAAACTGAACTGAGACTGTTTCAATTTACTATGATCTTCTATGTGAAGCTACATTGACGCAATCTACTTTGTTAAAGTGCTATAGAAATAAAGATGAATTGAATTGTCGATGTGGAGGATCAGTGGCTCTACTCTGAGCTCCTCCCATATGGCAGAGCTCCAGACCCTGTCTATAAGGGTGCGCTCATGAACCCTGCGAAGCAAACTCATTTTGGCTGCTTGTATCCAAAATATTGTCCTTTCGATCATGACCTAAAGCTCATGACCATTAACATAATATACTGTATTATTTAAATTCAGGAAATGTCTACTTCTTAGATGAAAAAAAAGAAGAACGTTGACTTACAGAGCTCTTTTGGAGGATTTGATGACTGCTGATAGTCTGATGAGACACTCGTCTGATCTCTGGAATTTCTGAAGCTCAAACTCCTCCAGCTCCTCCTCTGAGGTCAACAACACAAAGACCAGAGCAGACCACTGGGCAGGTGAAAGGCGAGCGGATGACAGACGTCCTATACTGAGGAGAGACTGAATCTGTTTCAGCAGAGTTTGGTCGTTCAGTTCATTCAGACAGTAGAACAGATTGATGGATCTCTCTGGAGACAGATTCCCTTCAAGTTTCTGCTTGATGTAGGCAATTATTTTCTTTTTGCTCTGATCACTGTCATCCTGCTGTGTCAACAGGCCTCGTAAGAGTTGTCGATTGGACTGGAGTGACAGACCGAGAAGAAAGCGAAGGTAAAGGTCCAGATGTCCATTCTCACTTTCCAGAGCCTTGTCTACTGCAGTCTTCAGGAAATCAATCATAAACTCATCTCTGCTTTTTTCTGCTTGTGTCTTGTCATTGTCGAGAAACAGATGTTGATAAAGGGCTGCAATGAACTCCTGAATGCTCAAGTGAAGAAAGCAGTACATGGTATAAAGAACAAATCCTGTCTCTTTCTTAAAGATCTGGGTACACATGCCTGAGTACACCGATGCCTTATCGACGTCAATGCCACAGTCTTTCAGATCGCTCTCATAGAAGATCACATTGTTTCTTTCCAGCTGCTGGAAGGCCAGTTTCCCCAGTGAAAGGATGAGCTTTGGATCCCAGAAGACATCTGCTGTGTTTTCTCCATCAAACTTTCTTCTGCTCTGCTGGATCTGAAAGCGGAGAAAGTGTGTGTACATCTGTGTCAGAGTCTTGGGAGATTCCTGCAGTGTTTCAGCATGAGCCCCGTGTTTCAGTTTCAGTATGTTCTGGAGAACAGTGGCTGAAATCCAGCAGAAGACTGGGATGTGGCACATAATAAAGAGACTCTTTGACTGTTTAATGTGATCAATGATTTCTCTGGCCTGATTCTGATCTGTGAGTCTCTTTCTGAAGTACTCCTCCTTTTGGGCATCATTGAATCCTCGTATCTCTGTCAGCCGGTCGATACAGTCAGCAGGAATCTTTCTGGCAGCTGCTGGTCTGCTGGTGATCCAGATGAGAGCAGAAGAAAGCAGATTTCCCTTGATGAGGTTCGTCAGGAGAACATCCAGAGAGACTGCTGAAGATACATCACGACACGTCTCATTACCAGCAAAGTTCAGAGGAAGACGACATTCATCCAATCCATCAAGGATGAACAGGACTTTGAATCGTGTGCTTCTTGTAAGGTTCAGTCCTTTAGTCTCTGGGAAAAACTGAGTTATGAGGTCTTTTAAACTTTGTCTTTCTTTCTCCTTTAAGTTCATCTCTCTGAATGGAAGAGGAAATATGAAGCTGATGTCTTGATTTTTTTCCCTTCAGCCCAATCCAGAACAAACTTTTGCACAGAGACTGATTTCCCGATGCCAGCAACTCCTTTTGTCAGGACAGTTCTGATCTGCTCGTCTTGTTCAGCTGCTTCAAACAAATGTTTGCATTCAACCTGTATCTCTAGTAACTGATGACGTCTGGACGCAGCTTCAATCTGTCTGATCTCATGTTCAGTGTTGACCTGTTCACTCGCACCCTGAGTGATATAGAGATCTGTGTAGATGTTATTCAGAAGTGTGGAGTCTCCTTGCTGAGCAATTCCTTCAAACACACTTTGATATTTCTTCTTTAGGCTACATTTAAGCTGATTAATGAAGAGCAGCTCATCTAAACACAGGAGCAAAGAAACAGAGAGATTTAGTCTTGACTTATTTGTAAGTGACAGTCTGACAGATCGCCATGAGTAGGGCCAGACAGAACTTTCAGACATTTTTTTTGTTATTTCTGAGGAGAATTGTGTAGTATCATAACTAAAAACTTAATATATGAAAAAAAAACTTTCTAACTTGAAAAATAATAATATTTCATGTTTACAATACAAATCCAATTAGATCCACTTAATTGGTAAACAAAGCACAAAACTCTTCTATAGCAGATCTACTAAAGGACAGAAAATATGACTTTACAAACTACACTGTAAATAAATCATGAACATTTTCATATTAGGCAACAATATTACTGAAATTAATGAACTGAATGAATATAAATGAACACACATTTACACAGGTAAATAAATAGACTCAATGACAGGTTATCAATCTGTGGAAATCTGCAGGTTTCATGTGGGTGTATCCATGAGTCTC